GGTACCCCTGTGTAGAAACACCACCTCGCTGTATAGGGGATACCCCCTTATAGAGACAAACACCCTGTATAGGAACCCCAGTATAAAGGCAACTGCCCCTGCCCATATAGGTAACCCCAGTATGGACCCCCCTTCCCCGGTTTAAGAGGTTCCCCTCAGCATAGAACTAGACCTTTCCCTTTCCCATAGGTTCCCCCAGACATTCAGACAGAGCTGCCCAGGCTCCTGGTGTAGTTCCTGATCCGTGTGGGGCCGTGCTGATGTGGCTGGGCCACGGGAGCAGATTTTGGGCTGCGATTTGTGCCGCGGGTTCCTACTAATAGTCCCATGTAGATTTTAGGCTTCTCAACCCCGCCGGGGAGGCTCTCCATGATGGCTTTCATCCTCAATGCACTCACCTGGTAAGTCTGCAGCCAGCTGGAGCACCTGCGTCTTGTCCTTCCTTAACGTTGAACCATAAGAGAATTCAGTGTGATGTCCTGCCTCTCTGAAAGCATCTCCCAAAATCCCTGTGCCTGGTCGAGCATGTCTGCTGAGGGCAGTTGGGAACTGCTGACTCCTGGCTTTCTAGAACCTGGAAAAGTCATTTAACTTCACTGCCTCAATTTCCCAGCTGGGAATGAGGTTTGCTTCTGTGAGAGATTTTACTGAAAGTTAGAATTAATGGATCTCAGCAAACACTGATCTGTAAAGATTTATGAATTTTGCCACTGCACAGAGATTACTGGGGGAGATAGTTTAAAAATTCCTGCCTGTTCATTGCACTAAAATCTCTTTTCCCTGCCGTCACGTAATTAAAAAGCTGTAAGAATATAAGTCTTGCTGCAGTGGCCGGGAGAGAGGCAAAACCCAACCTATTCTTAAAACATTTGAAGAAGATTTAAAACCGCTAAATAACCAGCACTGCTGACAGCTCTTACTGCACCCCCTTTTCCACGGGCCCGGCGCATCTCATTCACCTCCTGCCTTTACCTTTGCAGCGCCCTGGCCTTGCTGTACTTCATCCGCCGCGGGAAGCAGTGCCTGGATTTCACGGTCACGGTGCACTTCTTCCACCTCCTGGGCTGCTGGATCTACAACTCGCGCTTCCCGTCGACGCTGACGTGGTGGCTGGTGCACGTGGTGTGCACGGCGCTGATGGCGGCCATCGGGGAGTACCTGTGCATGCGGATAGAGCTGCGGGAGATCCCCCTCAACTCCGCCCCCAAGTCCAACGTATAGACTCCCCTGGCGACAAACACGCTGCGTTAACGCCGTTGTCTCCAGCACAAGTGCGTCCGACATGCCTCAGAATCATCCCTGAAGAAGCACAGCAGGTCTGTTGAGACTTTGTTATTAATTTTCTTTTTTTTCCCCCCGGGCCTCGGTGGCTGCATGAGTGTGAGCATCTCCTCTGGCATCAGCTGGCAGCGGGGGAGGAGCAGATGTTTATTTTGTTAACACGAAGCATTAATGTGACTGTGTGGAGAGTGTGCCCTTAAACTCTTCGCTCAAGAGACTGTTAAAAGCCAGGTAGCAAAACTTGGTGCGTGAGGAGCATTTGGAATCTAACGATATGGGAGTGCCCTGTGTGGGGAACACGATGGTCAGCTCGCTCTTCTTGTGGGAGCTGGGACGTTGAGCAGTGGGGCTGGGAGCTGCTGCTTCCAATCTGTGACTGATTTGGGCTTTGTTTGGGAAAGGAGTCAAAGAAGTGAATGGATGGGGAAAAGGAAAATAGTTGTACTTACCTGAATCACCAGCTGAGTCACTAAATAACCTATAACGTTAGATGGGTTTGTTTGCTGTTTCCATGTTTGATACATAGAGGTGACAGACGGCAGTTTGCTGAAGAAACCTTTTGTAATAATAAAAACATTATGTTGCTGTGAGTGTGTTATGGCTCTCCTGGGAAGCTGAGCCCTTCAAGGAGTACCACGAGTGTCTGTATCATGGCAACAGAAGGATGCAGCCAGAGAACACCTGGCTGTGAGATGCCCGCTGTCTGGGGCACATAACATTTCCTACAATAAACATTGCATACCTCTGCTCTGAAAGGAAGGCATCAGTGAGTGCTGTCTTGGGAAGTCAGCTGGCATAATCCCACTTCGGGAGCAGTGCCAGCAGTCCAGGGTCTCTCCATGTTCAACCTGAGGCTGGAGGTATCCTGGAGCCACCTGCTGCTCTTCCCACTTGTCTGGGTGTTCCTGCCCGGCTTCAGAATTCTAGCAACAGATCTGGTTTGGGTAGAGGTGATGTTAAATAAGAGACTGCTGTTATTTCTCGAAATAACAGGATGTGCCTCTATTTAGAGACACTTCAAAGAAACTTCACCAGGCAGTGACACCCCCTTACTGCTGAGGGGCCAGGGCTCGGTGGTTCCTCCAGACCCCACAGCCCAAGCAAGGAGATTCACATCCTGCCTGGATTCTGCTGAGGGATGACCAGTTCGTGCAATCCCAAACAAGGACCAAGCCAGGTCTAAAGACAGATTTTCTCCTGTGCAGCATCTTGCTGCAGTAACTTCCCTTTGTACATTAATATTTGTAATGTTAACTTGCATAAGTTATTTGCTAATTCAACTTGTTGAAAAGTGGTGGGATGATATGGAGATACAGAAGTTGATAAACTCTTTAAAGCTGCTCTTTTGACTTTGTTCTTGGGGAATGAGCTGTATTTCAGTCCCTGCTCTCACACTCAGACACTGTAAATTGAGGCAGGATAACATCCTGTGCTTTACATACCCGGCAGGGCTGCCTCAGAGCAGGATTTCTGTCTAAACAAATGTAACCAGCACTTTTTATATTCTGGGATTTCACCAGGAGCCCTTCCTGACCAAACCCCCTGTAAGCAGAGTTTCAAACAGCAGCAGCCTTTCAAAGGGAAGAGTTTACACAAGTGTTTTTCTGGGCAGGAGCCAGCCTGGAGGGCCACCCTGAGGTCACTTCCTAGGGCTGCCCTTGCAGCAAGACAGTCCATCCCTTCTCAAAATCAGCTCAGTTCTCATATACAAGGATACTTGTCTTTCTCCCAGTCACCTCAGCCTGGATATAAACTGGTCTCCAGTAGGTGCCAGTATCTCCCTCAGAAAAGAGGAGCAGGAGCGTGCCTGTGGTTGGGATCAGGGCGGAGCAGAGGGCAGTTCTGCCTCGGGGTGATGAGCACTGACAGTGTTGTTAGTCATCTTTTAAGACTCCCTCAGGGTCATTTTGTCCTCTCCTGCTTTTTGTTGCTATTCTTGAGAAAGAACATCCCAGTCCTGCAGGGACAGGGAAAGTTTGCAGGTTTACCTCAAGGCTTAACACCACACCAAAGCATGGTGTGAACTCTGTGTTCTTTGGGATTGTTCTTAGGGTAAGTGGGAGCTAAAGACTAATTACAGTGAACATGAGACCAAGGAGGGAAAGCCACATTCTTCCAGCTGATCCCAGAGTTGCTGTGAGCCCATATTAACAGAGCTGCTCCCTTTGTTCCCCTGCAAGAACAGAGATGAAGACTTTGGACCAAGGAACACTTACCCTTTCTTTTTGAATGCATAAGATATGCTGTAACTGCTTCAGCAGCCTCCCTGGGGGGTGAAATGTGGGTACTTTGCATCCGGAGAGGCTCAGAGAGTCTCTCTGAACCAGGAGAAGAATCCTTGACAAATGTGGATTTCACACTGAGGCTCCAGGACACCCCAGGAGCTGCACTGCATCAGCAGGAATGTGCTGTAGGGTCAGAAATGCTTTCTGAAAGGCTGCTGACTGCCCAGGGGGACTGTATCTGGGTATTACTTTTTTTAAAGGAATTCTACTGTAATTGTCCTAGTCATAGAGGAAGTTCTGCTAAAAATGAAATATTGATTGAGGAAACTCATCACTCCCATACTGTGAGACCTAATTTTCTCTCACATGCTTTCAGTCAGATTTAGAAGCACCTTTGGCTTTAAAAAAAATCTGCTGCTCCATACCAGAACAGTGACAGATGGTCTTTGTTTCTTAATGAATCTTTGGGTTTTTTTGTGTGCAATAGTTGAGGGATTTGCTTCCAGGGAAGATGTGTCCCAACACCTGCTCTTCTCAAAGACAGTGGCAGTGTCAGCCAGCCATTGGCATCCATGATTTTGCAAAAAAAGAATTTTACCTTCCCTTTCCTCAAAGCTGTTTTAGAGTAGAAATTTTTAACAGAGAGGAACTCCAAATTCAAAGAGAAGGTAAGAGTTGTGGGATACTGGGGGGGTTGTGCTTATTTTTTTTCCTAAAGGCATTAAACAGCTGTTCTAAACAACGAGCAAGTGCAGGATTTGGATCCAAAGTACTCCAGCCTTGGTTGTACATGATGCCCACCTGCTTCAGCTTTCCCCAGCTACAAGCCACAGGCAGGACAAGAGATAACAGGGCAGGGGGAACAGGATCAAACAACAAACACTGCTGTTGGAGTGGAAGAAGAATTAAAGAATGAAGCACCTGAGTGGTTCACTCCAGGTTTTGCCGTGCTCTGGTTTCCCCTGTCTCCACTGCTCACCCTAAGGCTTTGTGCCCCAGATGCTCAGTACTGAGTACATAAGTAACAACTCTGTTTGCAGGAAGTCAAGTTGCCCCTTCTGAACACCAGCTGCTCCTCCCTGACTTGTTTCTTGGAATTTGCCTCAATGGATTTGTTCCCTCCTGCTGCTGCAGGAGCAGAGTGTTGATGGTAGTGAAGGTAAGAGGAAGAACACCTGACTGCCAAAGGAGAGCAGTATGACCCAGCACCACTGGGTCTACATCCTTTGCTGTAGAAGCTTGCCCACCACCTGGAATCCATCCAGTGGGATCTGTGGGGCTGGCAGGGCCCTGGGTCCCCTGCTCACATTGTAGAGCACATCCCCCACTAGTTACAGCTCCCATGTCCCTCTGCAGCCAGGAGGGCACAGAGCTCCAGCAGCATCCTTAAAACACAGACTGCCTTGGACTGCCCAAGAATATTGCTGTGTTTCTCTGACATATTCAGAAATCACTTGCAAACACCCCTCTGTTCCAAATACTTGCAGGCTTGTACTGAAACTGCAAAACTAACATTCTGAACCACAAAAGAAGAAATTGTGCTGTCAAGCAAAAGCCAGGACAAACAACTTCTACCATGCTGTAAGCTCTACAACACACTTTAATACTCTGGAATTACACACTTCTACCCACAGAGCTGCTTACAGGTACCTTGGGGAAAGCTTCAAAGCAGGAGTTGCTATAAATCCCTTTTGTCCTGCCTTGACACTCTCCCTCAATCAAAATATTTTTGCTCTCTGTGTCCTTAGAAAAGGGATTTACACATAACACAGGAGTTACTCAGGAATCCAGATGTGTGCAAGACAAGTCATGCAACTGTGATTATTCTTCAGCAGGGGTTTCACCGTGTCCTTAAAGCAAAAGGGCCAGTACAGGGCAGGTCTCCCTTATGCCTGTGACAGGACAGACACCACCCCCCTGCACCTCACAGAACAGTGGTAAAAATGCCCATCTTGTTCTCAGTGCCCAAATCAAAAACTTGGAGAGTTGATCTGGTGGAAAGAGTCAGCAAAGTAAACAGGTTTCCTTCCAGTAGCCATAGAAGAGTGGGAAGAGTCCAACATTTGCCATTTTTCCAGAATTTATCACTTTTCCCTAAATCCTCTGCCCCATACCTATAAGCTCCCAAATTCTCCAGACAGCCAGATCTGTCTCTGTGTCTTGAAGCAGAAGTGGACAGGCATTATTCCAAATTACAGACCAACAGGAACACCCAGGAGATTCTGCCAAGCTCTCCCATGTCCCACAGGCACAGGATGGAGCCGAGTGTCTCTGAGCTCTGCACAGGATATTCCTCAGGTTTGGAAAAAGGATCAGAAAGATGCCAGGGCACAAACTGCCACTGCCTTTGATGGGATACTCACGGAGCTGCAGTTTATAAGTTCACCCAAGTGACGATGAGGGGGATACTGAGGATGGAAACGTTGGGAACGTGGGTCCAGGCAGAGCTTTGGGCCATGCTGGGGCTGCAGAGGTCGAACAAGCTGCCTTGAAATCTGTTTTTTCGGGACTCCCTTCTCAGTGTCTCCCAGACAGCTGCTGCTTCCTTCTGGCATTCCCAGAGTGCCGTCAGGGCACAGGTGTGGAATTCATCCCAGTACCTGCAGCCAGGGGAGACACCACACTGTCAGTCCCAGGCAGAGCCTCTCTGCCCCAATCTGCCCTCTGAGCAGCAACAACCCCTGTGTTTTGTGCAAGTTGCCCAGACTATTCATCCCCTCCATCATCTGCCAGAGTATCTTGGCTAAAACTCCAAACCTCAAAACACTGAAATTATTTAATCTTCCCCCCCCCATCTTGGGAAGTCAATAAAATTCATTATTTTCCATCAACAAATGTTTCCCTTCAGCACCAAGCACCCTGAGTATCTCACACAGGCTGCAAACAAAGGCCCAGTGCATCTCATTCATTGCTTTCTCCAAGCTTTCTCCAAGAGGAGTCAAGGGCAAATGGGAGCACAAAGCACAGCTCCCACAGAGCATTGCAGCATTAACTGAGGTATGAGCAGGGGCAGGAGGAGTTATTCACTGTGTTCTCATTAGAATCATCTCTGTTTATCTGCTGGGTATTGCCTGTGTGAGTAGATGTTCAGTGTACAGAGGCTTCTGGGAGGAAAAAACCAAGACAGGCAAAGATAACCCATAGTCCTGCAGGAATAAACTGGGAGCTGCTCACTGAAGACCCCTTTGCCTGCTTCTCCTGTGGACAGCTACTTGGGTTTTATTTTCTCTTCCAGACTAGAACCAGGCAGGGAAAAGCCCCAGCAGAAACAGGGCTGAAAACCACAGCCCCCAGGAAAACTCTCATAGGAGGGACACAATGACACCACCCCACCCATCCCAACACACAGGGGCCGGTGCCACACGGGGTGACCCCATGATGCATTCACCCAGAGCAGTATCCAGCCAGCCAAGGCTTTATCCCTTCCTTGAGCTCCTTCCTTACCTTTGGTGAAGCCCCGTGGGGGCTCTATAGCAGCTGGTTTTGAGCCCTTTCCAGTGAGCTCCCTGCCCACCAGTGCCAGGCTGAGCAGGGTGGGGTGGGTTCCAGCTGTCTGGGACAAGGACAGCAGGGACCAGGCTGGGCCATGTCCCCCCTATATGGTGTGAGGGAGGACCAGAACAAGCACCCTCCTCGGTTTTTTTGGCTGCTGCATATGGGACAACCAGACTCTGTACCAGACTCCCCAAGGCTGCTCTTGGTGCTGCTTTGTGACAGGGAGGGCACCCGTGGCCTGGCAGGTTCTGTGTCCTCCCGAGCACGTCTGTAAGTCCCAACCCAGCTGAATTCACAGTCGGGATCTCTGTTTTGTAGGTATGCACTCAGGAAATAAAACAGCAGGAGCCCAAGTCTTAGGAAATGCCACGGGAACCTCTGGAAGTGGTTCCTCTCCGAAGTTAAAACTTCCTCATAGGACAGATAATGCTCTATGACACACTTGCCACTGACCTTCCCCCATGATTTCTTTCAGAGAGAGTTTCTTATACCTGAAAAGTAAATCTTCAAAGGAGTGCATGCCCTGACACCCAACACTGGGACAAGGCAGGCACCAGCCACAGGCAGCACCCCCTGACTCCCAGGGGGCTTCCCAGGCTGTGCCAGCCCCCAGCCCAGAGCAAGCTGCACCCCCAGACACCCCTGCCCTCCCCTGCACCTCAGCTCTGCTGTCCTGTCCACATGGGCTGGGGCTTGGCACCATCTCCAGCCCCCAGCAAGCTGGGACTGCCCAGAGGACAGGAGCAATTGCTCTGTCACCTTCCCTGTGTGTGCCAGGACACCAGGCACATGTCCCACCCCTGGGGAAGGGGCTGCAGCCCAGCTGGATGAGTGGGGACCCTGCACACTGGAAGGGCACAGCTCGGGGTTGTGTGGGTGCCCTGTGCTGGAGATGACACCCTGTGCACACAGGCAAACACGAACACTCTGCTTGCTTAGCTGTCCTACGGGGGCTCACATCGGAACACCAGCTGTGGGAGAGTTCATTAAACCGAGTCACTGTGGCAGAATAAATGTTCCCAGATAATGGGAAAACCTGGTGCCAACCCAGGCAAACTCTGGCACTCCTGAGCTGCAGCAGCAGAAGGCAGCTCTGCCAGGTGAGAGTTAAACCTGGCCCATGTCTTCAGGCAAGAGAAGGTTGGAGGAAGGTGAAGGGGGATGGCAGCTCCTGCCTGGATCGGCTTTCAGCAGGATGGCAATTCCCAGTGCTTCACCCTTCACAGCCCCCATCTGCTCAGGCAGACTGTTGGTAAGCGAGTTGCTGCTCTAGGGCAGCACCACACAGAGCTGAGACACCACCAGCTCCCACGGCAGCTCCTGGTTCCGTGTCCATTCCTCACCCACACTCCTGGAGAGGGGACCACAGCACCAGGAATGCAAACAGTGGTGGATAAGACTGAGGGTCAAAGGCAAATAATTCAGAAGTACCTGGCAGGGAGCAGGGACATCATCAGCTTGCTCCTCCAGGCACAGCAAGCCTGGCTAGCAGTGCATTAGGACCAGGAGAAGAAGCTGGCATGTCCCTGAAGGTGCAGAGCAAGGAAGATCCCAGGACCTGTTCTTCAGTGGTTTGTGCCCCAGAGCTGTCAGAAAACCTCAATTTGCACATTTCACAGGAGCTTCACACTGCTGCTCCTCCAGCAGTCAACAGCAGCACGGGCTGGGCTGCCTGCTCAGGTGTGTTTTCATACCAAGAAGCCTCATTTAACAAAACAAAAAAGGTATCAATTGCTGTCCAAACCAGAGCAGGCCCCATTTCAACCCAGCCTTAGGCACGTCCCAGAGACACTGTTCATCCTGAGCCAGGCTGTCTCCTGGAGAAGGGGGAATACAGAGCAGGTCACAGCCCAGAGGATGGTTTCCAGCAGCTTGGAAAACCTGATCCCAGGGCACTCAGTCCTCTGCCTGGCCCTGCCAGGTTTCCACTGCCCCCAGGCATGTGGGTTTTCCCTTCACTGCTGTCTGCATTTCCTTGTAACTCCTGTTCACTCCCCACAGCTCACTGCTGGGGACACAGGGCTGCCTCCATCTCTGCAAACACTTCCACCTTGCTGCTTCTTTCCCCAAACCTGCCCACCACCACCCCTCCTTACCCAGCCCTTCTTCAGTTCTGCTCAAGTTAACACTCTCCTGACACCATCATCTCAGGGCATCGCTACAAACTTAGGAAAACCAGGTCTGGGCAAATCCAAGCCTGAAAGACAAAGGGTCAGGGCCGGGAGGGACAAGGCTGGCTTTGGCAGCAGGACCCACCAGGGGCTGGGTGCAGGCTGCTCCTGGTAGCGCTGGGCCCTGGGGCAGAGCAGCCACCTGCACATCGCTGCCTGAGACCCGGGGTCCAGGGGAGACTTTCCTGGGGAGCAGAGCGGGTCAGGTCCCACCAGCCCTGCTCCTCCCTGCTGCAGGAGTGCAGAGGCTGGCAGGACAAGTTCTAGGGGCTGGAGCTCCTTGACCAGGGAGACAAACTCCAGTGGGAGATAAGCAGGAGATGGACAGATGGACAGACAAAGGAAGGGAGCTCACCAGGTCTATCTGAAAGCAGAGTAAGGTGTGGAACACATGGGTATGTGCAGGCACGACAGGACCCGGGAGGGCTGGAGGAGAAGACTTCACACAAGGGCAATACCAAAAGCCACGCTGGCCATGCACTGTACTCACCTGCAGACTCGGTGCAGCCCCTGCAGCTCGATGCCCTCCTCCTCCTCGTAGGTGGCCATGCTGTCCCCCAGCTTGAGGACGCAGTCCGAGAGGCCCCGGTAAGCGTCGGCGCAGGCGGGTCCCGCTGCCAGCAGCCCGGCCAGGTGCCCTGCCAGCACCGGGGGGCCAAGTGAGCAGGGCATCTCTGGGGATGGAGCCCACCTCCGCCCTGGGGTGTCCCGGCCCCTGCCACGGCGGACGGCCCCGAGCCCCCGCCGGCCCCCGCCCGAGCCCGGCGCTGCCGGTGTTCGCCGAGAGCCCGGTGGGCACGGGGTGACCCCCGCCCAATCTGCCCGGGATGAGCTCCCGGCCCGAGGCGGCGGGCAGGGACCGGCGGGGGGCACGGCCGGGGAGAGCCGCAAGGACCCGGCCCGGGATGGAGGGAGAGAAGGAGGGAGGGAGGGAAGAAGAGAAGGAGGGAGAAAAGGAAGGGAGCCCTCATGGCATCGACCCCCTCCCAGACAGCCCAGACACCCCCTCACCCAGGGCGAGGAGCAGCACGGCCGGACCCCTCCGCTGGCCCATCCCGCCGCCGGCTCCGCCCGGGCTCGGGCTCCAGCCCCGCTGCCGGTGCCCGCACCCCCGGGGCCGGCAGCGCTCCCCTCTCTCCCGCCTCCGCGGGGAGGGCACCCGACCCCGGTCGCCGCTAATAAGCGGCTTCGGCCGCGGCTAATTAAGGAGGAGGCTGGGCCGAGGCTAACGAGCGCTCGGGGGCATCCCCGGGCCCAGCCCCCGCACCTCCGGGATCCCGCACCCCTGCCCCTCCCAGCATCGCATCCCCCGGCGCTCTCTGCAGCACCCACGGCTCCCACCCCCTGCACCCCCTCCAGGACCCTGCACCCATGGGGCCCATGGCACCCCGGCACCAGCACCCTCACACCAAAGCCCCCCAGCCCCTCCCCATCACAGCCTGCACTGCCCACCCCACGTGTCCCCCCGAGTGGGGGACATGGGCCTGTGCCCGCTGCCAGCAGCAGGAATCCAGGCAGGGCAAGGATTCCTCACTGGGCTTTGGGCTCTGGACTGGCACAGGTTAAGTCAATGCAGGGTGGGAAGCAAAGCCCGGAGAGCTTGGAGGTTCAAAGCCTTAAACATCAGCACCTACAGCTCCAAAACCTTCTGTCCAGATCCTGCCTCCAGCCATTCCCAAGGCTGCCATGGCCTTCAGGGCATCCACTGGGATTTTGCATCCCCTCGGCCTGATCCCGGCTCTCACCCCAGGAGTCCCCTTTGCTCCCACAGGAAGGGAAGCAGGAGGTTTCCTGCCTGCTTTGGGGGCTTTGCTGCAGGGGCTGGTCACCCACCCTGGAGCTGCTCCATGGGGTGCCTGGGCCAGGCCAAGGGGCCATCCCCCATCTCAGTTCAGAGATCCCTGTGCTCCAACAAGCACAGGCTCCAAAGCAAACCCTGGGAATGGGGACACAGCATCCGTGTCACTCTGGCAAAAATTTATTTACAGACAAGCACCACGTGCCCCATCTCCATTGGTCTTGGAAGACAAGCAAGTGGCACAGTTATTTCAGTCAGGCTGTTGATGCACATTCCATGTGCCACCAGCCTGGGATATGCAGGGGAGTGTCTGACCCAGAGGTGCCACTGCATCCCCACACGCAGGGTATGTGGCAGTCCCCAACACAAGCCACCATCCTCTGCACTACCACAGCCCCTGTTACCCAAAGCAACTCCAGAGCCCTGGAAATGTTCCTGCAGAGCAGAACTGGCCAGCCCTGAGTGGCTCCTGGATTCCTGAGGGCTGGATCAGTACCTGACTTCTTCAACAAAGGGGTTCAATGGCTGGGAAGGGTTGGAACAGGTGAACCCCAGCTCTGCCATTGACATGCTGCAAGGCCTTTATCACCTCTGTTGATGCAGGAGGATTAAAAAAAGCTGCCTGGCCCAGTGAAGTTGGTGCATTTACTGGGGGCAAACACATCACTGCTGAACATGGCTTGCAGCATGGCTGGGAAGGATCCAGCCTGCCCAAACTATGGGGCAAGAAGGCAAGAGTGCAGGGCAAGGGGGCTTCCCTCAGCCCAGCCTGATGCAGGACTTCCCCTCACTCTGTTCAGGTGTCTGCCCAAGTGCTCCAGGAATGCCCCTTCTTCACCCAGAGCTGGAGCTGGATGTTCTGCTGCCTGCACACCCCCTCCCAGCTCTAGCAGCTCCCATGCCAGCAGCAACCATGGGTTGGGGCCCCAGGATGTGGGGACACGAAATCCCAGGGCTTCGCAGGAGCCTCCCCCAGGCTCCAGACCTTTAGCACTGGGACTGGGATCCTTCCCCTGGGACAGGGCATGGCCAAGGAGCCGGCTGGCTCCTGGCACAGGGCGGTGCTGTGAACGCCATCCAGGCTCCCCCCACCGCTCCTCACCCGCGGAGATGCTCCGTTTCTCAGCAGCCACATTCCTTCGAGGGTGTTTACGGCTCTTCTGTCTCCCCACCATCTCAGGCTGAAATCGCCCCTTTTAAGGGAGCCACAGGGCCATGAGTTGCTGGAGCCTTGCCTGCTGCAGGCTGCTTCCCTGAGATGTATCGCCTCATTTACTGGGAAAGCAGCCTTGCCTTGCCTTGCCCCTTGTTTTTCTCTTGACTCCACAATTTCCTGGTGGAGTCAAGCTGCAGCTCACTCCCAGCCCCATCCACGCACGCCTCCTAGAGAATAAGATCTATTTTCACCAGCAAATGATTCACCTGCACCGGGAACTGGTTTGCCTTTCCCTGAGCAGCCAATTTCTCCCCAGCTCCATCCTCACCCCACAACTCCTGACTCACCTCCCAAACCTCTAAGAGACGGGAAAAACCTGAGTGGGAAGGTCAGGAGGAACATGTCACCTTACATTTTCTCCTGATGACAGGTGCACTTCGATGCTGGTCCCCTGGGGATATGGGCAGGAGCTGGGCTCTGTGTCGTGGAGACAATAGGTGTCATTCCAACCCAGGCTGGTGACCCAGGGACCTGAACACTTGTGGTTAGGGTGAGGGTTGTTGACACAAGACAGTGCTGTGAGCCTGCACTGGAGGCACAAGGGAGGCAGGGATGCTGCAGCAGCTGAGACAGACCCTGCAGGTACCTGGCAAGGCTTATTCTTAGGGCTCCCTACCAGAAGTGGAGACTCTCCACTGACTCCAGCGTCACCTCTGTCCCCTCTCACCTTTTGGCCGGGGGCAGGCACGCTTTGCTATGAGGGGAAAAAAAATCATTACGTGGAGCTGGCTTGCCTGCAATGGTTTAATTGCAATAAAATGTGTGCCCCGCTGAGCGGCACGGCTTGTGCTGGAGAGCCAGGATGAGTCAGGCTCCGTGCAGATGATATCACTGCTTTTCCAACACCCTCCCAGGAAGGCAGGACGGAGGGGCCACAGCAGTGAGGGGCCTGGGAACGTGTCACTCTGCACGGGCAGCACCCTCATGTGCTGTCCCCACAGCGGGGATTTGGGATGCAGTGAGCCCGAGGGAACTCTGGGTGCTCCGGAAACTCGTGTGTGCACAAACAGCCCCCACGCCTCGCAGCAGTAACTGGTGCCAATCGACACAGACATGTCACATAGCAGAGACCTGAGCTAATCCCGCGGCCCTGCCTGCTCGCCTCCCTGCTGGCAAGGCAAGGCAGGGCAGGGCAGGGGGGCAGCAGGGACGGTGGGGAAGCCGGAGGCCACAGGGAGCTGTGAGCAAGCCAGCGCTGGCAGGTACCCAGCAGAGATTTGCTGCTGCAGCTCCTCAGAGACCATAAATCCCCACTCTTGCTACACCAGCCTGGTCCCTGCCAGCCACAGTGCTGGCATCCCACACTGTGGTGGAAACCATCAGGCAGATCTGAGGGTGCTTATAGATAGGGATCAACATTTAGGTGGACAAAACCACCTGCTGAAGGCAGCAGCTACGGGCAAGCGCACAGGGTGCAGGCTCCGGGTCCCCAGCTCAAAGCCGGTTTTTGGCAGCAGGAGGTCCCAGGGGGTGTAGAGGGGGACAGCAAAGCAACAGTAGCCAAAATAGAGCTGGGACACAAACAATACCGAGTTATCTTTTGTTATGCAGACAGTTAGAGGAACACACTCAGAACAGGACAGGCGGGACACGCCACAGACACTGGAAACTCCCTTCCAGCCAGAGTAAAAGGGCACAGTGGATGCCCCCCCCTCCGGCTTGGCAGTGACCAGGCAGTGGGCAGAGCTGGCGCTGGGCACTGCGAGGCACTGACTCACCCTGCTGAGACACAGGAAGGAGGCGGGCGGCCAAGTCCGCTCCTCTGCCAAGGAGCAGCCCTGATGTGCAGGGCTGAACGTGGGAGAAAACACCCCAGAGTGGGGTCTGCTGGGGATGAGGGTCTCACAAGGCCAGGAGTGAGCTGGGGAGGGAGCCCCTTACCCATCCGTGCAGTGTGCTGTCCTCTCCCGTGTGAACGCGTGAGTTGGGCGTTCAGAGAAGAAAAGTAAAGAAAAGCAAAGGAAAAACAAGCATGAATGGTAACTGTGCTCCCTGCCCAGGCAGAGCCCCTGCCTCCCCCCGCCTTCTCCCCACCAACCTCCTGCCACCCGTGGCACAGCCCCTGCCAGACCGCAGCCCGACACTGCGGGTACCGAGCTCTGCCCGAGGGGGCTGTGGAGGGGTGACCCCGCTGCAGCGACCCTCCCTGGGGGCCAGGGACCCTGCCGGGGACTCTCCGTGCGTCCCGGCGAACGTGGAGACCCTCCGTGAGGAGCGGGTACCGCGCACGGGGGCCCCTGCTCTCCGCGGGGGCCAGGGGCCGCGCACGGGGCGCCTGTGATCCTAAATGGGGACCGGAGACCCCATCCCCGCCGCAGGACTCCCGGGGGGCTCCGGCAGCGGCGGGGCAGCGGCCGGGAGGAGCGGAGCGGGTGCCGCGGTGATGGGCGCGCCGGGCCCGCCCCGCAGCGCCGAGCGCCGCCCCGCAGCGCCGCTGGGGCGGGGGGGCCCGGCCGAGCCCCGCGCCCAGCCCCGTCCCCGGCACGGCCCGGGCGCAGCAGCCGCATGTCGGGGCCCGGCGCGCAGAGCCGCAGCCGGCGGCTGCCCGGTAAGTGCCGGCCGCGGGGTGGGCTCGGCGGGGCGGGAGCGGGGCTCCGAACCGGGCGGGCAGGGCTCGGGTGCCACATCCCCTCCACCACCCCGCAGCTCCCACCTGAGGCCCCGCAAAGCCGCTGTGACCCCCCTGCCGTCCCCGCAGCCTCCGGCCCGGCCGCCCCGAGCCGCCGCTGAACCAACCTGCTGCCCGGGAGGCTCGAACCGGGGGCTGCTGCCCGGGGAGCGCCGTGCCCGGGACGGGGATGCTCGGGGAACGGGGGGATTTGGGGGACACCTTCCTTGGGAAGGGCCTGAGATCGGGGACCTGTTGCGGAGTGGCATCGGCACCCCTCGGAGTGCCGGGGGCTCCCGGCAGGAGCGAGTCCCCCCGCACCCACGGGGCTGAGGGTATGAGGATGCTGAGCAGAGCAAAGCCATCAGCGAGTGGCGGGGCGAGCGGCAGCCGGGGGACCGGGGCTTGCTGGGGGGCAGCCAGCCAGGGACG